AGATGCGCTCATCATCAGACCTGCATTAGAAGAATGAGGTGTTTGCTGTGGATCAACAGCTTTTAATTTGAAAGGAAAGGTGAGCTTCCTCACCTGCCTGTGCGTCCAGGTGGATATTTGTGCTGAATCGTGTCTTTGAGTCAAACAGCGAGAGAGCGCCGTTTACTCACTATCCAATCACATGACAGCATAAATAAGCTAACGTCTGTGGCGGTGCGTTCAGGGAACCAAGCAGCTTGTAAAACTAAATCTTTATTTTTTTATCTTCTTTTAGTTTAAAAATCATCGTGTTCGATGAAGCTGAGCATCATCATCAGCTCAGAGCTCATTAACATCATTATTGTTGTTATTTTGGTTTTGAGTTGTTGTTCGAGGCCCGGCGTGACCGCCCAGGTGTCTCGTGGGTAATGGATCCTCGTCTGTTTGTGTCAGGTTCCTGTTTCTGTTTCCTTCACCACAGAAACATGAACCTGATGTTTTTCACACAGAAAGCTTCATTTTCTGTTTGTTTGTTAACATTTTTCTTTCATCTGATGATTTATCGTTTACTTTAATTACTTTTGGATATTTTTGCATCTTTACATTGAAAAATAAAATTTATTTCAGTCACTGTAAGAAACGCTGACACGAACATTTTCAGGATGATGTTTGTTGACGTTTTTATGAAGAAAAACAACCTGACAAATAAAACAAATAATATTTAATTCAAGTCGTAACAGGCCTTCAACACAAAGTTCCAGTGATAAACTCGACACACAGAAAGATTAAAAACTCCACGCCACCGCTCTTTAAAAGCATCGGTTGCCGTGGCGACCCTGCGTGCTGTGACGCGAGCGCGGCTGTGGGAGGAATGCTAACAGAAGGAGGAATGACGTGTCGAGGTCATGCGAGGACAAAACGAGCCGCGGCGGTGCGTCTCTCGTGAAGTGCAGAGAGTAATCTGAGTACTTCCTGTCTGTCCTCACTGTGTGATGGGGTGAGCTGTGCCCAGGAAGTCACTGAAAGAGAAGACAAAGAGCAGCGTGAGCGCGGCTTCGCGGCTCGCCGTGACATCACCGCGAGCTGATCCTACCTCAGGATGTTTGGCAGCTCCGGGCTCCTGTAGATGAACTTGTGCTTGTAGGCGAGCGCGGCGGGGAAGGGCACGAACTGAACCTTGTGACCGCTCAGGCTCTTCGACTGCGACGCCAGCGAGTAGAGCTGCAGGGAGAGGAGGCGGGTTAGTCTCTTCTTCTACTGCAGGAAAAACGGCGTCACAGCGCGGCTACAGATCGTCACACAGAAACGCTCTAAGATCAGAACTCGTGCCTCTCCCTCCATCTTTGACGCCACCCGCCCCTCCCTGAGCCTGGCTCTTCCTGCTCCCACCCTCGCCTGTGCGCCGCTCACAGGGTCGTCTGCTTGTTGGCTCCTCTGTGTGATTGCTGGCTCTATGAAAAGCGCCCTGCTGTGATTCGGCGTTACATGAATGGTGCCGGAGCAGATCCGCCCACATCAGATTGGTGGAGATGTTTCGTCACTTTCTTACCTTCTTGCCGAGGTGGAAAGGAACCACGCTGTCGTCCTCGGCGTGGAGGATGAGCACGGGACAGGAGATGTGGTTCATGCTGCAGACACACAAACATTCGGGGACATTAAACGCCTCTGCTGCATTCAGGGACTGCAGTTCTTCTAACAGCCACTAGGTGCTGCTGTTTAGGGCATGTGTGTGTGAATCACCAGATATTCACACACACATGACGAGCTAATATTTCCTGATTAGTCTGCAGGGTCGAAGGTCAGCAGCTGTAATGAGAGTCTGTGACGCTGCGCGAGCAGATCCAGGATCAGCTCCATCCTCAAACCTGCTCGGGTCAGAAAAGTGAAAAATCTGCACGACTGACAACAGAAAATCAACGATTCGGTTTAAACTTCACGAGAAACTCGAAACGTTCCTCAGACAATTTAACATCAACTCCAAGATTATCCAAAGACGTAAAAACGTTTCCTGTTCCACCCACTCAGGGATTTACTTTAACATCAGGAGTTCAGAGCTCAGCTCAGAGGAGGCGCTCCGCACGCTGAAAACACAACGTTTCACGTGGGAGGAGCTTTGATGAGGTACATACTTCTCGTCGCTGGTGAAGCGGATGTTGTTGGCAGTGATGGCGTCCAGGAAGAACCAATCAAAGCCGGGCAGGTACCGGTACACCTGAAACACACACA